AATGTGGAGCGTCAAACATTCGCGAGCGTTTAAAATTAGAATTGGCTAGGTAACACGGTCGCTCGAGCGAGGTACTGGCGAGCGTCAAGCGACGTACATTTCGCTCGAGCGATGGCTCAGCGTGGGTCCAGCAAAGTTGGTTCTGCAATTGTAGCTAGAGCGAGGTCAGGGCGAGACTCTAGCGAAATCAAAGCGTCGCTTGCATCTTCGAGGCATCCCACACAACCCTAGACCTAGCCTATAAACTTTAGTTCATTGCAACTCTAGTCCCTGAACTATTAGACATTGACAATTTGGTCCTTGACTTTACAATTTTGACAATTTGGTCCTTGGTCACAGATTTGCCAATTACATATTTTCCTAACAGTATCAAATAGAAATCTTGTATAAATTATGATCGAAATAAAATTTCAATATTTTGATATTAATATGAGTTTCTAAATCTTTATTTCTATAGATTTTTGAAGGATCTAATAGAAAGTTTCATTCTTATTTTAGCAAAAATAGAATTTTTCTTTAATGGAAGTCTAAAATTTTATTACTTAAAATTGATACGGTGAAAGCAAGAAGTTGAAATAGTAAAGAGTCCATGAAGGCAGTAGGCCGTTGAAGGAAGCGATTTACACATTCAGAGTTCAAAGGTCACTCGATTCTAAAAATAAAGATCTAAATCAAAACTAAGGTAAAACTATTAATTTTTTTTTGCTAAAATTAGAATGAATCTTTTTAGATTTTAGAGAATCAAAGGGATTAATTGCATGATTTAATGATTATTTATATCAATGCTAGGATGTACAATTGAAGGATTAGATAAATTGTTAAAAAATGTTAGACAAAATAAAAAATATTATTTCTCAATTAAAAAATATGAATACATCTTCTGAAAAATATAATATATTTAATAAAAAATATGAACATTATGTTACAGATTATTCCAATCTACTTGATCAAAAAATGGATTTATATGCTAAAATTGAAAATAGAATAAATATAAGATAAAATAGTTTTAAAAGATTGACCTTGAGAAAACTATGAGAAAATCTATATCAAATAGATTACCTCAAAAAGTTAAATATTCTAGATACAAGATAACACTTAGATTTTATTTAAAATTGATAAATAATAGGTTAAGTGTTAGACATTTAAAAGAATATTTAGAATATACATTTTTAAAAGGAAAATAATAGATTGTCATGCTTGTGATATTAAGATATATATATTATAATATAAAAAAAATCATTTTATTAGAGGTAATATAAACTTTTTCATAAAAAGAAACGGGAATAAGTCAAATAGAAAAATCCTGCGCAACAGTCCATCAAACCTTTTACACAATTCTATTAAACCTACGAATTCATCAATTCGGGGAACTTCCTCTGAATTAAGCATAAACATGAGATCCAATCCCCTAAACTCCCAAATTTTCATTCAATCAGCAGATCTCCAGATTCCAACCCATGCCTTAATTTTGCGAAATCCTAACCCTAAAACAAATTTTACTCTCCAACACCTCAAATTCGACCTTGTGTCTACAACTGGAATTTCTCCGAAATCCCTTTTCTTCAGCATTAATGGAAAACCCCTCGCCGATTCAACTCCCTTGTTTCAAAATCCAAAAATTGGTCCTCTTTCCACGCTTAAAGTCCATCTGCGACTTAATGGAGGTGGTGGAGATGGTGGCGCCACCGGGGCTGAGTCGCGTGACTGTTATTTGAATATGTATGCCGTGAAAAAGCCCGATAAGGTTGACCCTAACGAGATACGGCTCTCAAAGTGGTTGAATTGTAGTTTATCCAACGAGCCGTTGAAGCACCCAGTAGTTATTGATAAGTTGGGGAATTTGTTTAACAAGGAGGCGTTGGTGGAGGCATTGTTGAAGAAAAATTTGCCCAAGCAGTTTAGATATATTAAGGGTTTGAAGGATATGATTGCAGTCGAGCTGGCCGAGGCTCCAGAGATTAGAGAGAGGGGGACGGTAAAATTCCAGTGCCCCATTACAGGGCTGGAATTTAATGGGAAATACAAGTTTTTCGCGATAAAAAATTGTGGGCATGTATTGAGTTCCAAGGCGTTGAAGGAGATAAAGTCATCGGCATGTTTGGTTTGTCATAAGGAGTTCACAGAAAGTGATAAGATTGTGATCAATGGGGATGAAGAGGAAGTGATGGCATTGAGAGAGAAGCTTGAAGAAGAGGCAAAATTGAAAGATAATAACAAGAAAGTGAAGAAAGTGAAGAATGGAGAGATTGGGCGTCTGGTGGGGACAAAACATGGGATTGACGGGAATGGTAATAACCATAATAATAATGATTCGGTGAAGCGGTTCAAGGCAGCAGATATGGCCCCTGCAAATGCAACCAAGGAAGTGTATGCATCAATTTTTACTTCGTCAAAGAAGTCAGATTTCAAGGAGACTTATTCTTGTAGATCACTGCCTCTTGGTAGGAACTGATGTACATTAGTGACGTTTCAGTAAATCACACTATTTATCTTCTATATCTGTAGCTTTTGACTTGGAAGAGCTGTTAAGTGTTGGATTAAAATGTACTTTGTTAAGTTTAATTATCTTGCTATGGAGTTTTCTTATTTATTTTGTATACCATAAAGTCGTTAATTTGATGTTTAATCACAAATATTGGTTTGTTGCAACTCTTTTTGAACTTTTAGTTCCTTTTCTTTGTTGATTTCCTCATTTATGGATAACAATATTTCGTGTTTTGTTTAGCTATCTGTGTTGGAAACCTATGAATAGAAGAGGTCTTTTGCTCCATTTCATAGGAAATCAAACATATGGAGCAATTGTAGGGTTGATATTTCTAAGCATGGACCAATATCAGCAGAGGGGTCGTAGGTGTTTGGTGAGTTCTCACTCAATATCAGTTACTGTGACGGTTTTATAATCATAGGTTTGCCGAGCATATAATATCAATTGAAACCTTGTTTGGGATGCTGGTACAGTGAAGTGCATATTTGAAATGGATTGATCATGAAAGCAGTTAGGCCAGACTCTTATCTCGATGAAAGTAAATGAACAATATGTAGTATGTACCACGAGTCCACTTCCAATGGGAGCCTTTTCTGTTTGAGGTATGAAGACTCTTCTTTTGTTTGAAGGGCAGAAAGAGCGTAACCATTATAGATATACAATATGAGCTTGTTCTCGTTTTCTACAGATAAAAATTGATCCTGCATTAAGTTTGTTTAATTGCATTTGGGCTTCAATGTATATGTAGCTGTTTTAACATGAGATGAGAGGTTGTGACTTGTAACAGTTACGAATTTTTATTTTGGAGTGTACTCATGGTTTCTTCTTTTTCCTGTGAAATGGGTTGTCAAGACCTTGGTTTATAGTTGATAAAGAAGTTGTTAAGCCTTTCTTCCACTTCTTTTTCGAAAATGAGAAAGATATGGACAAAGGACAGATTTAGAGTGCCAAAGGAAAAGACTAAGAACCTTCTTTCCACCATATTAGCCTTTCAAGGTCTATTCTGGAAAGTCTCCCCCGACCCTCATTTCTATTGCATATCATCTACTGTATGTTTTAAGGACGTTGACATTAGTTTGTGGAGGTTAAGGTGGTGAAATAGAGGGGGTCTCTTTAAACTGTTATATGGTGCCACCAATTCAATGAAGAAATTTCCAATATTTGCTTTTGGCAAAGAAGTCCCATCTTTAGGAGAAAATAATCTACTTGTCCAAAGATTAGGGGCCCGTTTGGTAGGGATTTTGAGAATTGATTTTTTGACCGTTAGAAGAAAAGTGGAGTTCACATATGAGAGAAGAAGTCAAAAATTACGACTTGAATAGTAAAATAACGGTCAAAAAATCAATTTTTTGGGGGCAAAAAATCCCTACCAAACGGGGCCTAGGTCTTGCTCACTTTCTATCATGATAAGTATGATATTCTATCATGATAAGTATGATATTAGAATTTACCGAAGAGCTAAATTTCTCTCTCTCTTTCGTCATAGGTAGGTCTAGTGTTCAAAATTCTTTTATGAAGCACAATTTGATGCACAATATAAATTAATGATAATAAAAACTTAAAATGATAAATAAGATAAAAAAAATAAAATGCCATAAACTGTTTGTTACTTACATAATTTAATTTAGTATTTCATTTAAACATTATTAAAATTTGCAATCCAGTCTGCTGCTGGTATTTATCGTGAATTAGTGTCAAATGTAGTGAGCTATGTCCTTCCGTATTAATGAAAATATATTATAGAAAAAAAATATTGTTATTCCAATAACGAAACCAGATGTCGCATAAGGTTTTTGAGTTTTTATTTTGCCATGTGATTGACATTAAAATTTGCGTAGCAGTACATCAATTTTTAATGCAAGCAAAAGATTATTGAAGTAAAATGAAGATCGTTGAAAAAGCTGACGCATAGATGAAGATCAAAGTCTAATCAATAAGTAGTTTTAATAAATTTTTTCCATCTTAATAAATCTTTTGCGAAAAGAAAATTAAAAAAGGGCAACTTACAAAAATACTATAAAAATTAAGGGTGTTTTGGAAAATCATACAAAAAAATTTTTGAAGTAAAAAATACTGTGTAAAATTAAAAAGTGACATTGTGTCACTTTTTTTAACATGGTTTAGAAAAAATGACAAACTCAAAAAAAGTGAGAAAATTCAATTAAAAAAAAGTGATAAAAACCCTCCAAAAGTGATAAAATAAAATAAAAAGGTGACATAATGTCACTTTTTTATAAAAATTGTCACTTTTTCTTTAACACAATAAAAAAAAGTGACACAAATTCAAAAAAGTGACAAACTCAAAGAAAGTGACAAAATTCAAAAAAAAGTGACAGAAACTCAAAAAAAACAAAAAATGACAAACACCAAAATAACACCATCCATTTTGTTTGCCTAAAATTTCATGTAATTTTCCACCTGTCACCATTTCACATTACAACATTTTCACTAAAAAAAAAAGTGACAAATTAAAAAAAAATGACGAATTCTAAAAAATGACACAAATTAAAAAAGTTACACAAATTAAAAAAGTGACACACTCAAAAAGTGACGATTTTTTTTTTCAAAGTGACAAATTCAAAAAAAAAAAAAAATGACAAATCATAACCCACGATTTTCAATATAGCCAAATTATCCAATAAGTTCATAACTGATGAACAAATTAAAAATTTTTGAACTAACAACTTGAACAATATAATCATAATCCAAAAATTTAAAGACATCCAAGTTTCCAATAAGCTCACAACTAACGAAAATTGATGACTAAATTAAGATGTAAATGTTAAAAAATCTCATAATCACTCATCACTGTAAAAGTGACGCGATGTCACTTTTAAAAGTTAACTATTACCTTTATTAAAAAGTGATGCTTGTCACTTAAAAAAAAAAAAGTGATAGAAATCAAAAAGGTAACTTAAAAGAGTGGTAAACATTAAAAAAGTGATAAATACTAAAAAAAAATGACAAAAATCTAAAAGAAATGATGAATTCAAAAAAGTGACACAAATTAAAAAAAGTTGCACAGATTAAAAAAGTGACAAACACTCCTCAAAAAGTAACAAAATTCAAAAAAAGTGACAAAAAAAATAAATTAACAAACACTCAATGTCACTTTTTTTTTATTTATTAAAAATGACGTACAATATCACTTTTATTAAAAAATTGATATTTGTCATTCAAAAAAAAAAGTAAAAATTAACATTTAAAAGAAATTTTAAACAAATTAAAAGCTTAGTCAAAGACGTATTGCTCAATTAGAAATTGATTGTGTGTGACATTTTAATAAAAAAGTGGAACAACATGTTGTGTCACTTTTTAATGGAAGTGTCAAAAAATGCAAATTTAAAAAGAAAAATGTATAAACACCATTACTCTTTATGAGAGCTTGTTAATCCTATACAAATCATCTATCATTGAACATTTTCAATGCAATTTACAGGTTATCTTTGTCTCAACAAATACGTTTTCATCTCCTTCTCCAACAACATATCATATATGCCTTCATTTGACACTCAATCATTCTCCGTATCATAATCCTCATCATCTCTATCCTTCTCTCTTCCTGTGACTTTAAATATGGAAGCAATTCAATAAAGTGACGGAAATTAGAAAAAGCAACAAAAACTCAAAAAAGTGACAAATAAATCAAAACACTACAATAGGTCCAATGGATGGTTGATTTTCTCTTATACATTATCTTTCTGTAAATATATTTTTACTTCTATTAGCTAACATATTAACTTTGATTTGAAAAACAAAAATTCAAAAAAGTGACAAAAACTCCAAAAAGTGAGAACCATTTAAAAAAAAAAAAAGACGAAAAAAACAGTTTATAATATTAAGCTGATTATGACTAATTTTTAATTAAACTATGTTTAATTTGCAAATGGAAATGAATTGAGACAGGTGCCTAGATAAAGCATCAATTCTGGGTGACAATGCAAATCACACCCCATGGATGGTTTGTAGTTTGTACAGTGACACAAGTCGAAGAAGTTAAGCCTCTTACAAGAATGTTGCCAATCATAAGCAGCGCAATCCTACTGAACACTTGTATGGCATAGCTCCAAACATTTTCAGTACAATAAAGCTCCCTAATGGATTGAAGACTTGGCTTCTTCCAAGTTCCTGCACCTTTGATATTATAGTTCGAGAATCTCCAACATTAGCAACATATGGGCGATTGCGAACCAGAACTGCCATTGAAGCTGTTGAACTATCATCTCTTAAAGTATCTTTTGCTGGCTCCAAAAGAGTCTCTGTCAGTTTGTTGATATGTTTCACCTATGATGTTATAAATGTATTAGGTATATCTGTTATATATGAAAAAGAGGGAACAAATAGCCAGTTCCCTATTAACAATTCATCTTAAAAGACTTTGATGTTGCTTAACATGCAGAGCAGGGTAAAATATTTTCATTCCACGAACAACAAAAGCTATGTTGGGTGCTAGGTTATTGCTATTTGTTTTGTCTAATTAAATAAATTACCAACTACGACAGCTACTAAAGTTATCATTTCAAAGGAAACAAAAAATATCATGTCCCTGATGGGCCCTCAACTCCAAATGATTTTTCAACTATATTCCTGTTGACACATAAAAATTCAGCCCAAATCAAGCGGCCCAAGAAGTGAAGCCCAATTGGAGGATCTCCAAATCAGATAGCCCAAAGAACAAAGCCCAATCGAACAAATCAAGATGAAGGCCCGAATAAGGAAGCCCAAGAACGCGGTAAACGCCATCACCCAAGTTTGCAAGTCGCCCAGAATCTGAGCGAATGGAGTGTCATACAATCGCCCAGAGTTGTTACTCTATTCTCGCCCAAACCTTCAAGTCGCCCGAGGTCTTAACAAACATAAAGCGTCGTGGTTATCAAGAAGTGTAGTTATCAAAGCAGTTATTAAAGCAGCCCTATCACGTTCCACGATTCGAGGAATTCAATCGAAAGCAGTTGAACGATGAAGAGCAATAGCAGCAGTTAAAAAAGAAAGTTGTCATGACAAGTTGGCCATTACGAAGAAAGTGGGCAGTTATAGGACGATCAAGCAGTTTTTAGAGCGGTTGATCACAAAGAGATCGTCCATGAAGTATAAAAGGGAGAAAGGACTTAG